CCCGCCTCTCCGCCCTGCTCAAGCTCTTGTAGTGCACCCGCTGCTGCGCCCCCCTTTCTCCATCCGCCTCATCTCCTTTGACCTCCTCCTCCTCCTCCTCCTCCTCCTCCTCCTCCTCCTCCTCCTCCTCCTCCTCCTCCTCCTCCTCCTCCTCCTCCTCCTCCTCCTCCTCCTCCTCCTCCTCCTCCTCCTCCTCCTCCTCCTCCTCCTCCTCCTCCTCCTCCTCCTCCTCCTCCTCCTCCTCCTCCTCCTCCTCCTCCTCTTCTCCTTCGTCCCCCACCTCCACCTCCGCCTCTCCCTCTTCCTCCTGCTGCTGTCGGCGCTGCTGCTCCTCTTCCCTTCCACCCACAATGTTCTCGCTCGAAGAACGGGCAATTATCGAAAGCGGAGGGCAGGAGGACTGGCGGGAAAGGGGAGTGGGAGCGAGCGGGGAGAAGGTGGGGGAGGAAGAAGAGGGGGTGGAGGCAGAGAGGCGGAAGGCGAAAGGAGCCACAAGAACAGCCGGCGAGCCAAACGGCTCGAGACAAGGCTCGGGAGGAGGCTCGAGAGGAGGCTCGAGAGGAGGCTCGGGAGGAGGCTCGAGAGGAGGACATGAATGGTTGTTGATAGGTTGTGTGGTGGCTTGTGAGCAGGGAATGTGGGGGCTAAGCGCAGGATCAGGAGGAGGGCTTGTGAAATGTTGCGAGGTGAGAGGTGCGATCTGTGCAATTGCTGCATGTGCCTTGGAGCGAGGAGGGTTGAGGGGAGAAGGGACAAGAGGAGATGATGGGTGGGGCGTTGATGTTGCTGTGTGGGAGTGGGAGACTGTGCATAGGGCATGCTGTGTGAGGCGAGGAGGATGCAATGAAGGGGGGCGTGAGAGAGATGAAGCAGCAGGAGTGGGCTGAGAGGTTAGTGCAGCCTTGTGATGCTCCTTCCCCTCCTCCTGCTCCTCCTCCTCCTGCTCCTGCTCCTGCTCCTGCTCCTGCTCCTGCTCCTGCTCCTGCTCCTGCTCCTGCTCCTGCTCCTGCTCCTGCTCCTGCTCCTGCTCCTGCTCCTTCCGCTCCTCCTGCTCCTGCTCTTGCTCCTTCCCCTCCTCCTGCTCCTGCTCCTGCTTCTGCTCCTTCCCCTCCTCCTGCTCCTGTTCATGGCCCATGACATGGCACGAGCCATGGTGCATGGGATGACATGAGCCATGGTGAAAGGAGCGATGTTGGGCGAGGAGGCGGGGGAGGAGGCGGAAGGAGGGGCAGGGGAGGGTGCAGATGCCAAGGCGGCGCAGCAGAGAGAGAGTGACGGCATGCCGCACCGGCCGGTCGTCCACACTCACCACGCACACACCATCTAGCGCACCCGCTGTCCCCCCACCACTCACCGCACACACGCCCTCTAACCCACATGCCGCCTCCTGCTGTTGCTGCTGGTTGCCTGTGTCTTGTGGGGGCACTTGGCAGGAGCTTCGAGGAAGAGGAGAGGGGATGGAGGCAGAAGCGGAGGGGGTGGCAGCGGGAGTGGCTGAAGGGGTGGCAGTGGGAGTGGCAGTGAGCGTGGCAGAGGGTTTCGAAGAGGTTCGAGATGCAGTAAGTAGGGGCGGAGGGAGTGAGAGAGAGGAGGGAGGAAGGACAGGGGTTTGAGGAGAAGTGTGAGGTTGGGGGGGATGAGATGGGGAGGGAGGAGGGTGAGGGAGAGGGGGTGTGTGGAGGAGAGGGGGTGTGTGGAGGAGAGGGGGTGTGTGGAGGAGGATATCGAAGAGGAAGGTGGTGCCGACGCCTGGCTTCGAGACAAACGAGATGGATCCACCCATCAGTGACACCAGGCGCTGCAGGCGAGGGCGGGGGGAGGGAGGGGGGTTGGGGGGGGAGAAAAGGGGGTGGAGGGGATTTTAGTGGGGAAATGGAAGGATATGGACAGGAAAAGAAGGACAGCAATGTAAGTTGTCCCAACACAACGCACCTTGCAGATGGAGAGGCCGATAAAACGCCCCTTAAAGCCCAAGTTGACACATTCAATGACGCACTCCCAATGCAACGCACCTTGCAGATGGAGAGGCTGATGCCCGTGCCTCCATGCAGCCGTGCCGTGCTGCGCTCTGCCTGTGTGTACGGCCGGAAGATGTGCCTCCGCGCGTGCCGGGGGATGCCGGTACCTGCAGGAGGAACGAGCATGGGAGCACAATAGGTGGAGAACTAGGACCACAACCGTTTGCGTGAAGGACTAGGACTGGACCAGGACCAATAACGGGTATGGGAAGCGCACGTGAAAGCTTGAAGGCGTGCGTCATGACACATCTCACAACATGATGAGCGGTCTCACAACATGAGATCACGAATACTGTCGCCGTACGTACCTGTGTCTTCCACAGCCACCATCAGACGCACAGGCTGGTCGGGTGGCACGATGCGAGAAGCATTGCAGGCATTGCAGGCGCGGCAGGTACGATACGGCATGCTCACTGCACTGAGGTCCATAGGTTCCCGCATGCCCTTGCCCATGCCCTTGCCCATGCCCATGCCCATGCCCATGCCCACTGCAGCAAGATCCATGTGCTCCCGCATGCCCTCCCATGAGCACCAAGTCTCCACTGCTGGCCGGCCACTCAGCGTCAGGCACGCAGGGTCAGTGGAAGCACGCTCAACAGGCTTGCTACTGCCACCAGTGCTCCCACTCGTGCCACCTGTGCTCCCACTCGTGCCACCAGTGCTCCCACGTGTGCCACCAGTGCTCCCACTCGTGCCACCAGTGCTCCCACGCGTGCCACCAGTGCTCCCACGCGTGCCACCAGTATCTTCACAGGAGTCATTGTCGTCATGAGTGCCACCATTGGCACTGGTGTCATTGTCTGCTTCAGTTGCAAGACGCACGGCAATGAAGACATGGCCCTTGGTGGTGAACTTCAAGGCGTTGCCAACGAGGTTGATGAGGATCTGATGCATACAGGGGGTGGGGGGAAGGGGGAGGCAAGGGCATTGGACCAGGGGAGTGGGGAGGCAAAGGGATCGGTGGTGAATTTGAATGCGTTGCCCATGAGGTGATGATGATTCAACTCCCAGCATCTGCACTTTCCCCTCTCATATTATGCTCGCCATGGCATGTCCATACTAGGCATGAGCAACCGGCCCAACCCGACCCCACCCGACCTGGCCCAGCCCCGGGCCAGGATGTTGGAGACCCTGACCTGATACCGGGTGACCGGGCTGGTCTTTACCTGACCCGACCTCAGGTCGGGCCGACCCGAGGTCGGGTCGCATACAGAAAACCCGCTCTCGCTGACGCTCTGCGCACATCGGCGATTTCGTTGGCATAACTGTGGAGATCGGGATTTTGCCTGACATTTTCTCAGCCTCCAACAAATGTGTTGGAACAAACATTTCCAACCAATTCGACACTTCTCACCATTCGTAACAGCACTAAATCTACCATTTTTAACCCCCCCCTTCCCACTCTTATCTCTCGACATTGATTTTCTGCCTGCACATAGTCGACAAGTACTTGCCTATGTTGCGCCTGACGCGTCAGGCGTTTTTGACGCTGGCGTCTGGACGGGGCGTCCAGACGCTTGACGCCCGGTGCCCTCTGCCCTGGACGCCCGCTTGACGCTAGTCCGGGCAGGGCAAAAATGTTTTCCGGGCAGGGGTAAAAAAACCTGCCTAGTAAGGATACGCAGGGGTTAGAATGCAAGAAGTTAACATTTGTCACCTATAGTTATAAATACTCCATAATATCCAGAAAATCATGAAAATCTCCAGAAGGCGTGGAGGCACTAACAGAATGACCGGCGGGACTAGGAGTTGACATGATATCTTAATCGCCTTAACCTAATTTTAGCTAGGAAGGCTTAGTAGCGTGACTGGAGAATTCTAGTGTAAGGAATGCTTGACAATGTCGAGAGAAACAGATCTGTGTAATGTCGACCTAGATCTGGTTCTCTAGTTTAGTTGGGGGTCGACCAGGTTGGGAGAGGTAGATGTGGATGGGTACAAATGTGTGGGGGGGAATAAGTGAGGGTTGCGTTTTTTAGGTCAAAAACGCGGCCCCCAGATGGCAATTTCATCGTCAATTCTGGTCGCAATGAAATCGCGAGTCAATTTCATGCAGGAGAATTTTTTTTTTCGGGCTGCCCGAAAAATTTTTCCCCGAACGTCCAGCGTCAAACCGATTTGACGCGTCCAGCGTCCGGACGTGAACGTCCAGGGTTTAGGGTAAAAAGTTTTTGGGGTTTAGGGTTTAGGGTTTAGGGTTTAGGGTTTCTGCCCTTCCAGGGCGTCAGGCGCAACATAGATACTTGCCTAGAAACTAGGATTTCTGACGATAAGTTAGGTTGCGGGTCGAGGGTAAAAACGTCCCCTCGACATCGACTTTAGGGTTTTCCCTAGTGTCGTAATCGGGTCGGGTCAAAGCCCGAACCGGTTACCCTGTTTTTGACCCGGCCCGAAATTTGACATCGGGTTGGGATTTTTGCCCAGGCCGGCCCGACTCGACCTACCCGGGCCAGGTCATTGAAAGTCCTGACCCGACCCAGGCAAAATCCCGGGTCAGGTCGGGCGACCAGCCTTTTCCTCATGCGTTGTCCATACTCCACCACCGTCACACACTGCGAAATGTGGTCACAATTGACATTGCCCCCTGCCTGCACCTTGCAGGCTTCTATAGTGTGTCATATGTTGCCTGGCCCACATGTGCAACATGAGACCTCACTTCCTAGCTTGACAACATTGGCTAGCCTTGAACTCAACTTTGAGATGCTGCAACTAGCCTCATGATTTTAGTCATACATATAGGGCTTTGTCACTTCACTAGAACTCATCCTTGGATTATGAGGTTGTTTTGATCTCTATATTTCTACCAACTTCCTAATCAAGGACACTTTCACCTTCCCATTTTACATTAAGGTTTACCGATTGAATTCCTACGGACATGAACCAAAGAGGTTCGGTTGGGCCAGAAAGCAAATCTGAACCTGTTCAACCCAACCTGGTTCGAGTTCGGTAATTGCTCATGCCTGTTTCTTACACCACACGCACCTGCTTCACTCGGAGCGGATCCCCAAGGAGTGTCTCCGGCACATCGTCCGCCACAAACGCAGCAAGCTCCACGCAACGCTTCTCCTGGGCGCTCTCCACGAAGAGTCCCAACACATCATCCAGCTCGGCTTGGAGATTCAAAGGGATGCGCTCGAGGCAGAGCTTCTCGGCCTCGATCTTGGAGAGGTCGAGAATGTCGTTGATCAGCGCACACAGCGCCCGCCCGCTGCTGCACGCCGTCTCCGCGTAGTCCTGCTGCGTGCCGTCCAGATTGGTCTCCATCAGCAGGTTTAACATGCCTAGATGCCAACATGATGTGAGGTTGCAAGAAAGGTGACATTAAGAGAACAGGTGATCAAGACAGGTAGACAAGGAGACAAAGAGACAAAGAGAAGAGGAGACGAACTTTTAGGAGCCTTAAAGTACACTGGAGGCGGGGAGGGGGACAAGGAGACAGGCACGGCTTGCTCAACCTTAAGCATGATAAGATTCATATTATTTCGCATGAAGCAAATACTAGTGCAGATCTTGTACAACACGGTGGCGAGGAGCTCCTCCTCGGTGCGGTTCGCGTGCGATAAGACCCTGTTCGAGGCAAGGCAGGCACCTAGTACAGATCCACCACGTACCAATGACACCATTCATGGGCGTGCGGATTTCATGCGACACGGTGGTGAGGAAGTCTCCTTTGGCCCGGCTCGCCGCCTCGGCCTCCACTCGAGCGGCACGGAGCTCCTGCTGCGCCGCAGCCAGGTGCTGACAGTCGCACTCAAAAGCGTGCATGAGCTGGACGCTCGTCCAGAGGAGGATGGTGGAGACGGCCAGGAAGAGCGCCGCTACCAATATACAGACGAACGGTCCAAACGACGGGGAGTAGGAGATGTGCCTGTGTGTTGGGATGGATGGGGGGTGCAGAGAAGTGAGGAGGAGGGCATGACAGAGGAGAACAGTGCGAAGGGAGGATGCGAAAGATAGGAATTTGGAAGCACGGAAATTGGTACGATGTCATGGTGTTTGAGAAGGCAAGACTTGCTTTGGTATCCCCTTTGTTGGCAAACATACAAGTGTGCATGCATGCATGCATGTATGCTCTGCCGATTCGACCGAGCCTAACTCTGGCTTGGTACTATGTTCATGAACCGATGCAAGTCCTTCGCATCGCACACACCCATGCACACATCAACTCACTGGCAGTAAAGAAAGACGCTTCTTGCAGGATCACCCAAATGCAGCGCCTGTCGCACTTTCGTCCCTTCCTTCTCCTTCGTCATCCACACACCAATTTCCTCCTCACCTACCACCCCCTCATGGTCGAATAGCAGCGCAGGCAGCCACCCACTAGCCTGTCCATCCACACTCTGCCCTTCCCCATTCAGCACATCCGCATTTTGAGCACCATCCCAAGCCCCTCCCCTCGTCCCATCCACCAGATAAACCCTTGTGTTCAGCTCCACCAGCTGCTGAAACCCCTCTAGCGATCGCAGGTTTGCAAAGTTATACCCCGCGATGACAAACCCCCGCGGGAGCACCCCGGGGGTGGCGAGAGGAGGGATGGTGACGGAATGAGGGGTGGACGACGGGGGCAGGGCGAAGGTGGTGAGGTTGAAGTAGACTGGGAAGACTTGGCTGATGAAATGGTAGGGGTAGTTGTCGCGGACAAAGGGAGGGGACATGACTGAAGCGGCTGAATCGATGGACCTATGGACCATGTCACTCACTGCTGGGTCTGCGAGGGGTGGTGGTGGGAGGTGGTGGATGGGGAAGGAGGGCAGGGTGGAGGGGAATGCGTCATCATTCTCAAGTGACGCGTACAGGGGCAGTCCACGGGGCAGCAAGGTGACTTTTGAGTCGACTCAAAAGTCACGTCATTATTCTCAAGTGGCGTGTATAGTACAGGGGCAGGCCAAGAACACGGAGCCGTTGACCCCGGAGCTTTTCTGAAAGTTAAGACATTCAGAGACCTCTACAGAAGTAAAATCACGTTGAATGTTTTTTCTTAGAGAATCCTTTGGAAAACAAATAACACACCCAAAACTTTTTTTTTCCAAAAAGATGTTTGAAAAAGCAGAATCTTCCTGAACCACCTGAGAGCATGTCGTAGCAGCAGCCATCAGCGGGCTTCAGGCGACGGGTGAAGTCCTTGCGTGAGTTGAAGACCAGCAGCGGTGCGTACAGGGGCAGGCCACGTGGCTGGCAGGACACAGAGCCGTTGGGCTCGAAAGCGTAGAAGCAGCCTCCAGACATCTTTTCGATTCTGTCTCGGATCAACGAGTTGTTGATGAGGAGAGTAAAGGCCACAACTGCGGGCATGGGTGGGTACGTGGGTGGGTGCGTGGGTGGGTCAAGTTCCACTGATGCGTTTGGTCGGCTAGGATTTGAACCACATGTGGCTCACACATGATGCCACATATGTCAGACAGGACCAGGTCACATGAGACTACCAAGCTGTCACGGGTGAGCTCACATGCAATTCACAAGAAACCTATACATATGCGGTTCACATGATGCCATGGTCCAATCACATGCATCTCATCTGATGCCATGTCATGGTCCATGACTCATGGATCAAACCAAACCATGTGCAACTCGCATCATGGCGAATTCATGATTTCAGATGTCAGAAATATAGAAGATGCTGTGCGTAAGACAACATGCAATGCAGCTCACATGACGCCATGGGTCGACTGTCGAGAGTAGCTTGAGTGAACCGCTGGAATTTCGCCAAGTCACGAAAGTCCTCCTTCATGCTGCTTGGGGGCGGTGGGAGTGGGTGGGTGGGAGAGGTAGGGGTGGTGGGAGTGGGTTTAATACCTGGAATGGGGAAGTTGGTGGAGGGAGGGGAGCGGGAAGAAGGTGGGAGCGATGGAATAGCTGGGAGGGATGGAATAGTTGGGAGGGATGGAATAGCTGGGAGGGATGGAATAGCTGGGAGCGATGGAATAGCTGGGAGCGATGGAATAGCTGGGAGCGATGGAATAGCTGGGAGGGATGGAATAGCTGGGAGGGATGGAATAGCTGGGAGCGATGGAATAGCTGGGAGCGATGGAATAGCTGGGAGGGATGGAATAGCTGGGAGGGATGGAATAGCTGGGAGGGATGGAATAGCTGGGAGGGATGGAATAGCTGGGAGGGATGGAATAGCTGGGAGCAATGGAATAGCTGGAAGCGATGGAATAGCTGGGAGGGATGGAATAGCTGGGAGCGATGGAATAGCTGGGAGGGATGGAATAGCTGGGAGCGACGGAATAGCTGGGAGCGATGGAATAGCTGGGAGGGATGGAATAGCTGGGAGGGATGGAATAGCTGGGAGGGATGGAATAGCTGGGAGCGATGGAAAAGCTGGGAGCGGAGTAACCGGAAGGGGGGAGGGGAAGGAGGTAGGGTAAGTTGCTTAAAAATCACCATGCAAGAAATGGGGAGCGTTGGAGTTGGCTGAAAGGGCGAACACACCAAGTGTGGCCTGGCTGGCCCACCAGGCAAATAGAAAGGTTGATCCTTACATTCTATTCTCAGTCGTCAGACAACCAAACCTGGAGAAGCAAGGCACGCCCGTGTGCTGTGGATGCCCGGGGCAGAGGCATTGCATTGCATTGCACGCGCAACTCTAGGAGAGGCATTTCACTCGCAGCAAAGGAAACAGATGACCCTGCCCTGTCCTTCCCTGGCCCTTACGTATCAAGGTAATAGGCGCGGATGAAGTCGGAGATGGAGCGTGTGTTGGCAGCCGTGGTGTTGAACTTGGCCTCTATGAACGCCGCCCACTCGTCGCAGTGCCCCTCCAAGACGTCCCTCTCGCCCGCCTTGACTTGCCGCCACGCCGCCGCAAACACCATCAGCAGGATAGTCGCTGCTAGCACCACCCACCCCCACAGCACTCGCTGGGAACGGGATGGCCGGGGTGGGGAAGGGAGGCAGGGGAGTGTTGGTGGGGAAGCAGAGAAGCACATGGCTCTGAGGTTCGGGCCTCTCTCCTGCCTTGACCTGCCGCCACGCCACCGCAAAAATCATCAGCAGGATGGCTGCTGCTAGCACCACCCACACCCACAGCACTCGCTGAAACGGGGGAGGAGGGAGGGTGGGGGGAGGGGTGTGACGACAGGGGGCAAGCTGAGAAGCAAGTTACTGCAAGGAGTATCGCCATGCTGTTGCAAACACCTGTGAAAAGATGCAACTGTCACAGCAGACGCTGCAGAGGGGCAGGGAAAGAAGAGAGGGTACAGGGGAGGGTATAACATCTCACTACCCACTGGGTCAAAGCGAGGTGTCATATGGCGCAGCGGAGTGCCCATTAACACAGCCCACAGGCTTTACATACTCGTCCCCCTCTGGTCTGTCAACGTCCCCGTTGGCCCTCAACTTTAGAGAGTTGGGCCCCGCAGGGACCTTATTCCAGGATTTTTCGCTGGTTTCGAGCTGGTAACCACACTTCGATTCTCGCCGCGAATGGAAAGTGTGGACCAACCAGGATTCGAACCCTAGGCTCTGATTCCAGTATAACATCTCGCTACCCAATGAGTCAAAACAAGGTGTTATGTGGCGCAGCTGAATGCCGATTAACGCAGCCCACAGGCGTTACAGAGGGTATGTCCACGGGAGGGACGGAGAGGAGACAGGATGGCTGACGTGCGTACCTTGCGCCACGGGTGGCTGAGTCGTCTGAGCGGCCACGACACGAACCACTCCACACTCGACACCCACGACTGCTGCCGCTGCCGCCCGTTCGCCGCCTCCTCCGCGACCCCCTCTTCCGCCATGAATTGTTCCTGCATTGCCTTTTCCGCTTCCTCGAGCATAGCTCTCTCCGCCTCCTCCTCCTCCTCCTCCTCCTCCTCCTCCTCCTCCTCCTCCTCCTCCTCCTCCTCCTCCTCCTCCTCCTCCTCCTCCTCCTCCTCCTCCTCCGCCTCCTCCGCCTCCTCCTCCTCCGCCTCCGCCTCCGCCTCCGCCTCCGCCTCCTCAGGACCGAACCCATAACCCGGCCATCATCAGACCTATAACCCCCATTATCACTCTCCTGTGCGGCTTCCGCTCGTTCTTCTCTCGCCGCCTCCTTCCCGTTCTCGCGGCAATCGTTTTCCTCGGCCGAACCGCATTCGTCATTCCCAATGGCGCTGAAGTACGACAATGCAGCTCCAGGGGATCTCGGTGCGTTAGAGTCATGACACGGGGACGCGGCGAGAGCGGACGAAAAGTAACCCTCGTCCGAAACTGCTGCCTGTGTCGCTGAGCTTGAGACGTGACACGGGGACGCGGCACTATTAGAGGAATCGAAGACGGAATTTCTTGGAATTTCTGTAGGTAGCAGTAGCCGGCGTGTCTGCTGTGGCTTTAAGCCGCTGTAGGTCAGCGAAGGACAGCACCCGACCCCCTCGTAAGCCTTAACTTGCCCCGTAAGCAATAACTCCTCGCAATCCTCCTCCTCTTTGATCTTCTCGTTACACGACGCCGTTGGATATACTACGTAAGCTAAGGTGTCGCAATTCGCTGTTTCCTCCAAAATAGTGTCGGTAAAGACGGAACTGTTTCCGCTCAGGGTTCGAAAACCGTTCCGACGGCCCATGGAAGCCGGCATTCCCGTGCAATCCATGTCGTCGCCGTAATACTGTAACGGGTGACATTCCAGTGGAACCGTAGCTCAAACAACACTTTTGACGGGGTGTTCAAGAACAGAAAACAAGGCCAAACGAATTGGTCGGGGAAAACCAGACTGCGAGCTTGCATTCATCATCTGCTCTGCAGTAACAAGCTTTTGCACCACAATGCCTTCACGAAATGGTTCTTGAACCTGTGGCCGCCATGGGGAAGCAAGATAAGGTAGTAGGAACTTTATGGCTAGCATGAACACTGCTCTGTAATGTAATCTCCAACAGAACAACCCTGAGGACGTGTTACAATTGTCAGTGCACCGCGAATTCCTAAACGCTTTGTGGAACGAGGTACATTCCAGTGGCTTACGGTTGCGAGGGCAACTGAAAAATGTTCTCGTATAGAGTTATGGCTCCTGATATACAGTAAGTATGCTGGTGCATTGAATTCGCCAGCATACCCACGCACTGTACATGCGCAAAACAAATCCACAGTCCCCCTACAGTACTTTCAGTGCAGCTCATCTCATCCACAAAACGAGCGGAGGGTGCGCATCCACGACAACATAGTGCTGCACTGCACTGCAAGCACTCATGACAGCGCACCACAGAGACGCACACAACCTGCTCGCACACACCACATGTACAGTACGATCGGATACCTCCGAATTTGTCGGGATGATAAAGTGAATTTCGTTTCAGCATGTTGACTTCTTATCGAATAGAAGCTCACATGGGCATAATAGGACACATTAAAAAAAAAAATGCCCGTCTCTTATAATCAAGGACCGAATGTACTGTGCAGTGCCTGGATTACTGTGCAGGGAGACGGTATAAATGATCATGTCTTGGCGAGGCAGCGCCAGACGGCGTGGGAGAGGGGGCCGTCGTCGAGGGGTTTGGAGAGGTAGTCATCCATGCCGACGGCAAAGCAGTGCTGGCACGTGCCGGCAATCACATCCGCGGTGAGCGCAATGATGGCCACATGCCCCCCGCCCTGAGCCCTCTCCCGCGCCCGGATCCTGCGAGTCGCCTCCAGCCCATCCATGCCCGGCATCTGGAGGTCCATGAGAACGAGATCATAGGGGTGGGGCGGGGCGAGGGCGTCTACGGCTTTCATACCGCCATCGACGGCGGTGACTCGCGCACCGTGCCTCTCCAGCAGCTTGCTGGCCACCTTGCGGTTCACCACGTTGTCATCCACCACCATCACCCGCCGACCCACCAGCACCCCCAGCCTCTCGCCAACAGTCGCCGGCTCCACTGCCACTGTTGTTGGCTCTTGAGCCACTGCTGCCGCTGCTGCTGGCGGTGCTGCTGCTGCTGGGACTTTTGGGGCTGCTGGTGCTGTTGCTGAAGATGATGCTGGGAATGATGGTGTTGGTGGTCGGGGTGCAAGTGCTGGTGTTGGTGATAGTGATGGTGATGGTGTGCGGGTGATGGCCGGAGAGAGGGTGGCAACGGAGGGTGATGACGCAGGGGTGAGGTCAGCAGGGCGAGCATACAGAGGAGGGATCCCTGAGAAGTCGAGCACACTGCCGAAACCACGCACTCGACCACCACCACCACCACCAGCTGCTGCAGCACCTGAAGCACTACACCGTCCGTTGCTGCTTCTCCGTTGATCGCTCTCTCTCCCACGCAACTTCCCACCTGCTCTCGTTTCTCCTGCTGACCCATGCTTCGCGGCCCCCCTTTGGCCCTTGGGCCCATGCATCTCTGCCCGACGTTCTGCTGCCCCAGCTGCTTCCACCACACTGCCACCCCTCACCAGAGCTCGCAACCCCTGAGGCACATAGTGCTGCAACTGCAACCCCTGGGGCGAGTACAAAATCTTCTCATCAGCACTGCGAACCCTCACCAGAGCTTTCCTTCCCAAAGTACCACTTTCACTCGCAACGGCAGCAGGTGTTAAATCGGTCGAAGCAGCACCTGTAGCACTGGCAGCGGGTGTTAAATTGGCCGAAGCAGCAGCAACAGTAGATGCCAAGTTGATCGAAGCAGCACCAGTAGCACTGGCAGCAGATGTCAGATCCATTGAGACTGTGCTACCATCCATACCATCGATGCCACTCATTTCATCCAACACTGCATCCTCCACCACCTCCTCCTCCTCCTTCTCCCTCACTGCCACTCCATTGCCTCGACCGCACATGCCTGGGGTTGCCTGCGCCCCCAATGCACGGTCAGTGCCACTCAGGGCCAATGTGGCCGCCTCCTGAGAGATTCTATGATCGTCAGTAGCAGGAGGAGCAGCAGGAACAGGAGGAGCAGGAGGAGCAGGAGGAGCAGCAGGAGCAGGAGGAGCAGGAGGAGCAGCAGGAGCAGGAGGAGCAGCAGGAGCAGGAGGAGCAGCAGGAGCAGGAGGAGCAGCAGGAGCAGGAGGAGCAGGAGGCGCAGCAGCACCAGTGGCAGCAGCAGCGCCAGCAGAAGCAGAAGCGGCAGGAGCAGACGCACCAGCAGCAACGGTAATGAGGTGGGGTGTAAGATGAGTAGCTAGAGAGGCAGAGGGACCACTGCTTGCACTGGGTGATGACTGTGACATGCTTGGTGCTGCAATGGGGCTTGCGTGTTTGGATTGGGCAGAGTTACACGTGACAGTGCCCATTGTGTTGAGAGCGTTGGTAATGGTGGGAGTGTTATGGGAGGTACAACTGTTGGGAGTGGTGGGAGTGGTGGGAATGTTGGGAGTGGTGGGAGCGCTGGGAGTGGTGGGAGTGGTTGGTGAGTAGGAGGGACACAAGGGAAGGGTTTTGAGTGACTGAGGGGATTCTTGTGACTGGGGAAACTTGAGTGACCGTCGGGACTTGAGTTCCCGGGGGGACTTGAGTTCCCGGGGGGACTTGAGTGAGCAGGGGGACGTCACAGCTCGCCAGAGGGCTGCTGCAGCGCTGCTGCCAGCCTTGTGGAGGGCCGATGGGCTCAGCAGCACACCACCACCCCGCTGTCCTTTCGCCTCTCTCCTTCTGAGCCCTCCCTGTGCCACGTCCTCATTTTGGCCGCCTCCTCCTCCTCCTGTTGCCCGTGCTCCTCCTGCTCCTCCTGCTCCGCCTGCTCCCCCCGCTCCCCCTGCTGCTCCTCCTGCCTGCTCACATCGACTTTGCTCCGTGTCCGCACCAAACAGCGGCAGAAGCGCCGCCAGCAGCGCTGGCTTACGCAGGGGCTTCCTTATAACAGCATCGAAGCCAAGTGACAGTAGCGAGGGGATGGACGGGGAGGGGGTGAGAGAGAGCGCAGGCGAGGGCGAGAGGTGGGCTGCAGCAGCAGGGATTGGCGGAGAGGGAGAGAGGGAAAAAGCGGGAGACCTGCTTCTCCTGCTGCTCCTGCTGTTGCTTCGGCAGCCCCTTGTGACGTCATTGCAGTCACGATCACTGTTTTTAGATGTCTCAAAAGGCGAGGGCGAGAGGTGAGCTGTAGTGTTAGGGATGGTTGGAGAGGGAGAGAGGGACAGAGCAGGAGACCTGCTTCTCCTGCTGCTCCTGCTGCCTTGGCAACCCATCGTCCCATCGTTACAGTCACCCGGTTTACACTCACTATCACCCCCCTCATCCCTTTCATCTATCTCCCCTGCTTGCCTTTTCCAGCTGCCCTGCCTCTCCAAGTTACAAGCCTTCCTCTTGTAAGGACTGAAACTGTCGGGGGGGAGAGGAGAAGAGCCGTGAAGAAGCACAAGGAAAGGAACAGGCCAGCTGCTGCTGCTGCTGCAACTGCTGCACTTGCTACACTTGCTCATCTGCTCGCCTTCCCGTGCCATCCCATCCCCTGCCTGGCCGGACACGAGAGCATAGACTTGATCTGCTGTGACGCCCAGCCGCTGCATCATCTCCCCCTCCACCACCACCGCCCCCACCCATCCCCGCCTGTGCGCGTCTCGCAAACTCCTGTAGTGCACCCGCTGCTGCGAGTTTTGAGAATTCTTTGAATCGTGCTGCTGTACCTGCCTCTCTCCATCCTCCTCCCCTCCTTCCTCCTCTTCCTCCACCTCCTCTCCTTCTTCTTCCCCATCTTCCCCCTCTTCCATCTCTTTCGCTCGCCTCGGCTGCTGTTGCCACCGCTGCTGCTGCAGCTGCTGCCACTGCTGCTCCTCCCCTCTTCCACTTGAGTGAACATCGATGGAAAGAGGAGAGAGGCGCGGACGGGCAATGGAGAAAGGAGGGCAGGAAGGAGGAGGAGCAATGGAGAGAGGAGGGCAGGGAGGAGGAGGAGCAATGGAGAGAGGTGGGCAGGAGTATTGTCGGGAAAGGGGGGTGAGAGGTGGAGGAGTCACAAGCACAGCCGGCGAGCCAAACGGCTCGAGAGGAGGAGCAGACGGGTCGAGAGCATGGGCAACTGGGTTGAGGGGAGGAGCAGAAGGCTCGAAAGGAGGAGGTAACTCCTCAATAGAATGACATGAGTGGTTGCTGGATGGTCCTGTGTGGGCTTGTGCGCACGAGTCTTCTGGAAGCAGTGGGACCAGAGACAGATCACGAGGTGTGGGGCGTGTTGTGGCAGAAGCCAATATGAGTGCTCCGATGGATCGTTGAATGGTGGGTAGTGTGCGGCGTGACAGGGCAGTGTGTGACTTGACGCGGCGCGGAGGGGGGCGAGGGGTCGGTGGTGAGGGTTCATGGGCTTCTTTGTAAGCATCACAAGTCGTGGAGGATGCGGTTACAAGGGCTCCGAAGGATCGTTGAATGGTGGGTAGTGCGCGGGGTGACACGGCAGTGCTCGACTTGACGCGGCGAGGGGGAGCGCGAGGGGTCGGAGGAACCGATTTTCGAGTCGGCCCAAAAATTGTCTCATCACACGTGGGTAGTGTGCGGCGTGACAGGGCAGTGTGTGACTTGACGCGGCGAGGGGGAGCGTGAGGGGTCGGAGGAGACGGATCGTGGGATTGTTCATGTGCCTCAGAAGTTTCGGAAGAAGCGTTTAGAAGGAGCTCAGTGGAGCGTTGAGAGGTGGGGAGTGGGAGGCATGACAGGGCAGTGTGAGACTTGACGCGACGGGGGGGAGGGGGAGGAGTATGAGGAGACGATGGGCGGGGTCTTTGAGGTGCCTCAGAGATTGTATGGGAAGAGACGGCTAGAGGGGGAGGAGGAGGGGCCTCAAAAAGCCCAATGAGGGTTCCAATGGAGCGTTGAGCGGTGGGAGTGAGGCATGGCGATAGAGCTGTGTGGGTCTTGGCGCGGCGCGGAGGGGGCGGGGTACGAGGAGACAGCGGTGGGTGGGGTGCTGCTGTTGAGGGTGTGAGAGAGACGGTGCGAGGAGCACGATGGGGGTGGATGGCTGTGGGAGCAGGTGAGAGGAGGCGAGCGAGGTATTTTGCAGCAAGAGATGGCTCAGAGGAGAAGTCCACCTTGTGTTGCTCCTTCTCATGCTGGTCCTTCTGCTGCTCCTTCTCCTGCTGCTCCCCCGGCTTCCCCCCCTGCTGCTCCTCCCGGTGCTCCCCCTGCTGCTCCCCCTGCTGCTCCCCCTGCTGCTCCCCCTGCTGCTCCCCCTGCTGCTTCCCCTGCTGCTCCCCCTGCTGCTCCTTGGGAGCGTGTGTGGCATGACTCGATGACCCATGGTGAGTGACATGACATGAGGCATGCCCTGTTGCATCAGATGAGTCATTGTGCATGGCATGGCACGTGCTGTGCTGCATGGGATGACATGAGGCATGATGCAAGGCACGGTGTTGGGCGAGGAGGCGGGGGAGGAGGTGGAAGGAGGGGCAGGGGAGGGTGCAGAGGCCAAGGCGGCGCAGCAGAGAGAGAGTGACGGCATGCCGCACCGCCCGGTCGTCCACACTCACCACGCACACTCCCTCCCATCCCCAGGGAGTGTTAGAAGGGATGGCAGGGAATTTCAGGGAGGCCGGGGAGGCAAACCCAGGCAGAGGAGGAGGGAGAGAGACAGAGAACACAGGCGGGATAGAGGCATGCAGAGGACGAGTGTGGGGTTGAGGAGGAGGAGTGTGGGGTTGAGGAGGAGTGTGGGGTTGAGGAGGAGTGTGGGGTTGAGGAGGAGTGTGGGGTTGAGGAGGAGGAGGAGGAGGAGGGGAGGAAGGATGGAGAGGGAGAGGGGGTGTGTGGAGGAGGATATCGAAGAGGAAGGTGGTGCCGACGCCTGGCTTCGAGACAAACGAGATGGATCCGCCCATCAGCGACACCAGGCGCTGCTCGGATGGGCGAGTGGGAGGGAGGGGCAGAGCGGGATTAGGAAGGATACGGGCAGGCGCCTGGTGATGGATGCCGTCATCAGCGACACCAGGCGCTGCTCGGATGGGGAATGCGGAGGAGCAAGGGAGGGGTGTGAGGGGCAACGCATGTGCCTCAGTGCAATGTATGTTCCAAAGCAGGTGAATTGATGTGGACCTTGAAAGACAGCTATCTCTACGCAATGAACTTAATTCATAACACCCACCGCACCTTGCAGATGGAGAGCCCAATGCACCGCACCTTGCAGATGGAGAGCCCAATGCACCGCACCTTGCAGATGGAGAGCCCAATGCACCGCACCTTGCAGATGGAGAGCCCAATGCCCGTTCCCCCGTGCAGCCGTGCCGTGCTGCGGTCCGCCTGCGCGTACGGCCGGAAGATGTGCCTCCGAGCGTGGCGGGGGATGCCGGTACCTGGCAGCGATTGACAGGGCCGGGCAGTGAAGGCATAGAACATATACCCAAAATATGAATTCCTAAATTAAGAAATGCATCAATACATAAATACATATATAGCTAAATAAATGAGTAAACAAATAATAAGAACAGGATGGGAATGAGGAGAAAGAGGTGTTGCATAGGCCTGCCTCTTGCTGCAGTTTTGAGGCATCTTAAAAATCGATGCCGTTACACAACAAGTCCAGGCATTTCAAGGTGGAAGGAATGGTAAAGACAAGAAAATGCACCGGACAGATGCTCTTGCCCAGTGTTTCACCACATCCTGTGTGGCATGTGGGAAGATAGTGTGGAGCATATGTTGACCACAATACGAAACAGCAAACAAACAAACCACTAAACACATGCACGCAACGCAAGCACATGGAAGCCCACGCACGTGCGGGTGCACATGCAGACACACACACAAGCAGCAATGACAGCGTACCAGTGTCTTCAATGGCCACCATCAGTCGCACAGGCTGGTCGGGTCCCAGGCTGGCACCACTGCCACGCCCATCGCCATATCCCTCGCCATCCCCATCACCATATGGTCCATGCCTATTGCCATTCTCGGTATGGTTCCCCTTGCCCATGGCCTTGCCCATGCCCATGCCCACGGCACCAAGATCCATGTGCTCCCGCATGCCCTCCCACGAGCACCATGTCTTCATGGCTGGCCGGCCACTCAGCGTCACACACGCCGCAGGCTCAGAACATGCCTCCGGACGCTCAGTAAAAGCCTCCGCAACGGCATTACTACCACCACTCCTCTCATCTGCAGCAGCAGCAGCAGCAGCAGCAGCGGCCCCGGTGGCCTCAGGTGGATTTTCCCCCTCTCTCCGTCTGCTTGCAGTCATGCAGCCTTTGTCAAGAGACTGGCAACTGCTGGCTGGTGCTTTGGAGAGGAATGATAAACACGATCCTGCTGCTGATGGTGATACTGCTGGTGAACCTGAGGGTGTTGCTGATGGTGAGGGAGAGTGTGAGGGTGACTGTATGGATGTGGAGGAAAAAGGGGAGAGTGGCGGCGGGGGGTTGGGGTCGCTGGTGTTGTCGGTGGTGGTTGCGACACGGACGGCAATGAAGACATGACCCTTGGTGGTGAACTTGAAGGCATTGCTAACGAGGTTGATGAGAATCTGTGGGGGAGAACAGGGAGTGTGAGGGTGGAACAAGGAGTGCGGGTGGGGCGAGCGGAGAGAGGGGGGAGAAGGCTGGGTCCATGGTGGTGAATTTGAAGGCGTTGCTAACGAGGTTGATGAGCACCTGATGGGACCAAGAGGAGGGCGGGTGGGAAGAGGCAGGTAGCGGGAGAGAAGAGGCAGGTAGCGGGAGAGAAGAGGCAGGTAGCGGGAGAGAAGAGGCAGGTAGCGGGAGAGAAGAGGCAGGTAGCGGGAGAGAAGAGGCAGGGGCTGTATGCGAAGCAGGTGCTTCATAATGCCGGTTCGAGTTCGGTACTTGCTCATTATGCCTTCTGCAAAGAACACTATACTCATACTGCACCTGCTTCACTCGAAGCGGGTCCCCAAGGAGCATCTCGGGCACGTCGTCGGCGACAAACGCGGCGAGCTCCACGCAGCGCTTCTCCTGGGCGCTCTCCACGAAGAGCGCGAGCATGTCGTCGAGCTCGGCGCGCAGGTCCAATGGGATGCACTCAAGATGCAACTTCTCGGCCTCGATCTTGGAGAGGTCGAGAATGTCGTTGATCAGCGCACACAACGCCCGCCCGCTGCTTCGCGCCGTCTGTGCGTAGTCCTTCTGCGACCCGTCCAAAGGGGTTTCCAGGAGCAGGTTCAGCATGCCTGGTGGAAAGGGGAGGAGGGAGGGAGAGAGAAATAACAAAGGAAAAGAGATTGCGATCAGCTCGTTCAAGGATGTCCAAAAGCAGCATATTAAGTGGCAATTCACTTTGCACAATATCCTGCCAACTGTAAGTACAATTGTGTTTGCGTGCTTGTTTCTATGGCTATTACTTGCGTGATTGTGTTTATAAGAACAATCGCGCTATTGAGTCACGTATATTTCGCATCAATGTGGACTGATGCGATCGTGCGCTGTCCTGCACAGGTAGAGTGATCTTGATCATCCTGTCCGGATGCGATCGTGGGACCTGCCTGCACACAGTGTCAGGGACAGGCCACATGCGCCAACCCTAAGGGGCTACACATGAGATCCGAACCTCAAGCGAAGGTCATGATTTACACGCGAACTCGGATTCAGGGCCTAAGGGGCTACAGCGAAGGTCATGATTTACACGCGCTTTTATCTTGACCAGGCGCGAGATATCCAGGGGGCAAAAACACTCGTGGCTCGTCATGGAAACTCCTGAATTTTCATGAGCCCTTATGACCAGTCATGAGCTCGCAACGAATGTGAATCCATGACCGGATGCGCACAAAACACACACAGAATGCAAGACGATAGGCAAGCGGCTGGTTGACGTGCAAAATTATATATGCACCCAACATGTTCACCAACTTTATCAGCTGCAACTATATCCCTCCACAGAGATTCTGTTGCTTCGGATTATTTAATATATTTTCATCCCATATTGTTTTATAGTTTACTCGTATGACCTTTGCTAACTTATTGTTTTTACACAACTCGATGACGAAATGTTATCACGGTGAACACTAGAACGCTAGCAACACGACAGTACAGAAACGTTGATTGCACTAGAATTTTGAAGCTTTGATACAGTCCATTCTCTGTTGAATCTGACCGACGACCTTCACACGATCCACTGCGTGACGTTGCCACATTGCCTTACCATGCTATCGCATCACATACCAAATTACCGTGTTACCATGTTATCACGTTACCTATGACGCCGTTCATTGGTGTGCGGATCTCATGTGACATCGTTGTGAGGAAGTCACCCTTGGCTCGGCTCGCCTTCTCAGCCTCCACGCGGGCGGCACGCAGCTCATGTTGGGCGGCAGCCAGGTGCTGGCAGTCGCACTCAAAGGCGTGCATGAGCTGGATGCTCGTCCAGAGGAGGATGGTGGAGACGGTCAGGAACAGCACCGCCACCACTATCCAGGTGAACGGACCGAACGGCTTGGCGTATGAGATGTGCCTGCGGTGGGACGGAGGGCGCAGGGTGGAAGGAGGCGCGCATGAGCTGAATGCACGTCCAGAGGAGGATGGTGGAGACGGTCAGGAACAGCACCGCCACCACGATTTACGTCGATGCATGTATGTATGTATGTATGTATGTATGTATGTATGTATGTATGTATGTATGTATGTATGTATGTATGTATGTATGTATGTATGTATGTATGTATGTATGTATGTATGTATGTATGTATGTATGTATGTATGTATGTATGTATGTATGTATGTATGTATGTATGTATGTATGTATGTATGTATGTATGTATGTATGTATGTATGTATGTATGTATGTATGTATGTATGTATGTATGTATGTATGTATGTATGTATGTATGTATGTATGTATGTATGTATGTATGTATGTATGTATGTATGTAGTATGTATGTATGTATGTATGTATGTATGTATGTATGTATGTATGTATGTATGTATGTATGTATGTATGTATGTATGTATGTATGTATGTATGTATGTATGTATGTATGTATGTATGTATGTATGTATGTATGTATGTATGTATGTATGTATGTATGTATGTATGTATGTATGTATGTATGTATGTATGTATGTATGTATGTATGTATGTATGTATGTATGTATGTATGTATGTATGTATGTATGTATGTATGTATGTATGTATGTATGTATGTATGTATGTATGTATGTATGTATGTATGTATGTATGTATGTATGTATGTATGTATGTATGTATGTATGTATGTATGTATGTATGTATGTATGTATGTATGTATGTATGTATGTATGTATGTATGTATGTATGTATGTATGTATGTATGTATGTATGTATGTATGTATGTATGTATGTATGTATGTATGTATGTATGTATGTATGTATGTATGTATGTATGTATGTATGTATGTATGTATGTATGTATGTATGTATGTATGTATGTATGTATGTATGTATGTATGTATGTATGTATGTATGTATGTATGTATGTATGTATGTATGTATGTATGTATGTATGTATGTATGTATGTATGTATGTATGTATGTATGTATGTATGTATGTATGTATGTATGTATGTATGTATGTATGTATGTATGTATGTATGTATGTATGTATGTATGTATGTATGTATGTATGTATGTATGTATGTATGTATGTATGTATGTATGTATGTATGTATGTATGTATGTATGTATGTATGTATGTATGTATGTATGTATGTATGTATGTATGTATGTATGTATGTATGTAAGTAAACATGTCTTTTGAATGCACAGATGAATGCACGATGAAGGCGAGTATAATAAATGCATAATGTCTACAGACATGGCCAGGCACAGCCGCATGGACAGGACAGGTCGACTCACTCGCAGAAAAGATAAAACTTTCTCGTCGAATCACCCAGGTGCACCGCACGGCGCACTCTCCCTCCATCCTCTTGCCCTTTCCCATCCAGCATCCACGTTCCAATCTCCTCCTCGCCCACCACCCCTTCATGATCAAACAGCAGCGCCGGCAACCACTTCACAACCTTCGCATCCCCACTCCGTGCACCATCCCACGCCCTGCCCCTCGTCCCATCCACCAGATAAACCCTCGCATTCAGCTCCACCAGCTGCTGAAACCCCACAAGCGACCGCAGGTTGGCAAAGTTATACCCCACGATGACAAACCCCCGTGGGAGGTCCTCAGGCGTGGCGAGCGGGGGAATGGCGACCGGAGGAGGGGAGGGCGAGGGGGGCAGGGCGAAGGTGGTGAGGTTGAAGTAGACTGGGAAGGCCTGGCCGATGAAGTGGTAGGGGTAGTTGTCGCGGACGAAAGGAGGGGAGATGGCGGAGGATGCTGAGCTGATGACCCGATGGAATGTGTCATTAAAAGCTGGGTCTGAAAGGGGTGGTGGGAGGCAGTGGGATGCGGTGGGGAGGGGGGGAAGAAGTATTAGTTGAAGGGGGGAAAGGATCAGCAGGGGAGTGGGGAGATGGTGTGGTGACACTGGTTATGGCGAGCGCTGCGAACGAGGATTACGAGAGGGAGAGAGGGAGAGAGGCAGAGAGAGAGAGAGAGAGAGAGAGAGAGAGAGAGAGAGAGAGAGAGGGGGAGGGAGAGAAAGGGCAAAGAGGTTCAGTGCACAAAGAACTACTAGATGCCCTACAAGATACCTTCACGTGGCTCTTCTATCAGCCAAGCCCTTCGACTCACTCACCTGCCAGCCATGACGTCCAGGCAGAAGAGTGCAGTGAGGTTCACGGCACAAAGAACTACAAGATGCGCCGCAAGATTTCATCACGTGGCTCTTCTACCACCAGCTCGGCCCTTTGACTCACTCACCTGCCATGACGTCCAAGCAGCACACTGCTGAGAGGTTCACGGCATAAAGTACAGCATGCCCTGCGAGCAACCTCATGAGCCCCTCACAGCAGAAGGCCAGCTCTGCTGTTTGGCTCACCAGCCATGACGTCCAGGCAGCAGACTGCAGAGAGGTTCACGCGTGTGTTGAACTCCTTGCGAGAGTTGAAGATCACCAGCGGTGAATACAGGGGCAGGTCGCGCGGGCGGCAGGCGAGCGTGCCATTGGGTTTGGGAGAGAAGATACAGTGGTGGGCGTTTTCCTCCACTAAGTCGCGAATGAAGGTGCTGTTCACCAGGAGTGTGAAGCCCACGACTGGCCGCAGGGAGGGGGAGGGGGGAGAGAGGGGGGGAGGTGATGGGGTGGGGGGGGCAACGAGGGGAAACACAAGGGGGAAGAGCACAGGCGAGTGTGCCGTTGGGTCCGGGAGCGAAGATGCAGTGGTGGGCGTTTTTCTCGACTATATCGCGAATGAAGGTGATGTTTACCAGGAGTGTGAAGCCAACGACTGCAGGGGACAAAGGGGGGATGTGGGGGGAAAGGGAAGACGGGTGGGAACAGCACAGGAGAGTGCGCTGTTGGGTTTTGGGGTGAAGATGCAGTTGGGCTCCGTTGGCGTTGGTCCCCATTATGTCCCGAATGAACGAGTTGTTGGCCAGCAGCGTGAAGCCCACAACTGCAGGAGACGTGAAGGGAAACGCAGGGGCAAACGCAGGGGCAAACGCAGGGGAAAACGCAGCGCAACGTGGATTGGAATTGGGGACGGGAGAGAACAGGCAACTCACATGAGGCCATGGGTCAGTCAGAGCACAGCACATACAACTGGTCAAGTGTAAAGGAACAGTTCACTTGCAGCTAGCAGCAACTCACATGATGCCATGGGTCGACGACCATCAAGAGCGGCCTGAGTGCAACCACCCTAAACCCTGAACTCACTCACATGATGCCATGGGTCGACGACCATCAAGAGCGGCCTGAGTGCAACCACCCTAAACCCTGAACTCACTCACATGATGCCATGGGTCGACGACCATCAAGAGCGGCCTGAGTGCAACCACCCTAAACCCTGAACTCACTCACATGATGCCATGGGTCGACGACCATCAAGAGCGGCCTGAGTGCAACCACCCTAAACCCTGAACTCACTCACATGATGCCATGGGTCGACGACCATCAAGAGCGGCCTGAGTGCAACCACCCTAAACCCTGAACTCACTCACATGATGCCATGGGTCGACGACCATCAAGAGCGGCCTGAGTGCAACCACCCTAAACCCTGAACTCACTCACATGATGCCATGGGTCGACGACCATCAAGAGCGGCCTGAGTGCAACCACCCTAAACCCTGAACTCACTCACATGATGCCATGGGTCGACGACCATCAAGAGCGGCCTGAGTGCAACCACCCTAAACCCTGAACTCACTCACATGATGCCATGGGTCGACGACCATCAAGAGCGGCCTGAGTGCAACCACCCTAAACCCTGAACTCACTCACATGATGCCATGGGTCGACGACCATCAAGAGCGGCCTGAGTGCAACCACCCTAAACCCTGAACTCACTCACATGATGCCATGGGTCGACGACCATCAAGAGCGGCCTGAGTGCAACCACCCTAAACCCTGAACTCACTCACATGATGCCATGGGTCGACGACCATCAAGAGCGGCCTGAGTGCAACCACCCTAAACCCTGAACTCACTCACATGATGCCATGGGTCGACGACCATCAAGAGCGGCCTGAGTGCAACCACCCTAAACCCTGAACTCACTCACATGATGCCATGGGTCGACGACCATCAAGAGCGGCCTGAGTGCAACCACCCTAAACCCTGAACTCACTCACATGATGCCATGGGTCGACCATCAAGAGTGGCTTGAGTGAAGCGTTGGAATTTCTCCACGTCCAGAAAGTCCTCCCTCATGCTGCTCGCCCCAAGTGGGCCGAGGGATGGGGAGGTTGGGGGGGAGGATGAGAAAGATTATTATCTTGGGTGAAAGAGAAGAGACTAATATCCTTGTGAGTGATTTTGGAGAATTCTCAAAAATCACTCAATAGTCAAGAGTGGACTGCGCTTGAGTGAACCGCTGGAATTTCTCCACGTGAAGAAAGTCCTCCCTCATGCTGCTCGCCCCGGGGGAAGGGGGAGGGAGGAGGGAGGAGGAGGGGGGGGTAGAAGCGCAAATATATTTTTAAGACGACTCAAAATTCGAGAGTGGAGTGAGTGAAGCGTGTTGGGATGTGGGCACGTCAAGAAAGTCTTCCCTCATGTTGCTTGCCCGTGGGATAGTTTCAAGGTGGAGTTTGGCTGCCCAGCCTTTCTTATCAAGGTGAAAGGGGCGGATGAAGTCGGAAATGGCTTTTGAGAGGCCTCAAAAGGCGGCTGTCCAGCCTTAGTGGGTGACTGCTCTGGCCGTACTTATCAAGGTAGTATGCGCGGATGAAGTCGGAAATGGAGCGTGTGTTGGCAGCAGTGGTGTTGAACTTGGCCTCAATGAACGCTGCCCACTCGTCACAGTGCCCCTCCAGGTCGTCTCTCTCACTCGCCTCTGCATGCTGCCATGCCGTCGCAAACACCAGTGACAGGATGGCCGCTGCCAGCACCACCCACAGCCACAGCACTCGCTGGAACAGGGGAGGGAGGGTGGAAGGAGGGGTGTGACGACAGGGGGAAAGTTGAGAGGTGCTGCCAGGCCGTCGTAAACACCAGCGACAGGATGGCCGCTGCCAGCACCACCCACATTCAGAGCACTCGCTGGAAGGTGGGAATGACGGTGGGCGGAGGAGGGTGGTGGGGCGAGAACGGACGCAAGCAACAGCTGAGAACTGGGAGGTTGCAGTTCCCTTTTTTTTCCTTTTTTTTCCTTTTTTTTTTATATTCACACACAACGCACGCACGGCGTAGGAACCAGTACAGCACACACACGGCGTACGAACCAGGACATCAGGCACGGCGTACGAACCAGGACATCAGGCACAGCGCACGAGCCAGGACATCAGGCACGGCAGCGTCCCAGTCACCACAGCACCTCGATATTCAAGACGTTCCACAAATGGCTGAGTAAATTTATGAGGCGCCTCATGAGACACCACAGCATTGCAGCATTCGCGGCGTACCTTGCGCCACGGGTGGCTGAGTCGTCTGAGCGGCCACGACACGAACCACTCCACACTCGACACCCACGACTCCCGCCTATGGGGCCCTTCCGCTCCTTCCGCGCCCTCCGCGCCCTCCGCGACCCCCTTTTCCACGACCCCTTGTTCCCCGAACCCCTCTTCCGCCGTCGATTCCGCCCGCATCGCCATCTCCGCCTCATTTTCCAATCCGCGGAACTCATTCCCCTCATCGTCAGACTCCTTCCCCTCCGGCCCCTCCGCCCCTTCCGCCTCCTCCGCCTCCTCCGCCCCTTCCTCCCCCTCCGCCGATTCGAGATCATTCTTGTCGTCGCTCTCGCCCACCCTCGCGACTTCCCTCCCCTCTTCCCTCGCCTCCTCCTCCTCCCCGTTCTCCTTCTCGGCCGATGCGCATGAAGCGCCATCGCAATCGCCATTGAAGCCAAAGCACGAAAACGCGGCACGCACTCCTGCCTGTGCGGGTACGCTGGAGTTACGATGAAACGATGACGTGGCACGAACGGACGAGTCGCAATCTACTTCGAGACCTGCTGCCTGTGTCGCCGACCTCGAGGCATGACATGGGGACGCGGCACGACCTGACGGATCATCCTCAGCCGCCGAAAACGGCGGCATTCGCGCAGCCTTACTTGGAATCCCTAAAAGCTGTCGTTTTTGCTGTTGCTTTGATCCGCTGACGTTCAGGGACGGGTAACAACCCCCAGGATCGTACAATACTGTATCTTCTCGCCCCGTCAGTAACCCTTCGCAATCCTCCTTCACTTCTAAATCCTTGATAGACGGCATCGCTCGATACGCTTCATGAGCTAAGGCGTCGGAATCTGCTATTAGTGCTTCGTCCGGAGAAATGTCCGAAAATACCGAGCTATCTGCGCTTAGCGTCCGGAATCCGCTCCGATGCCTTCCCACGCAAGCCGGAATTCCCGTGCAATCCATGACGATGGAGTAAGAAGAAAGAGAACACACACGACACGACGCGCAGCGCAGATGACCACGGAACGGAGGCAATGAACTGTCAATGCGAAACTAAGCTAGGCACGTGAGATGCAGTCACGCAGTCCTGGCGAAACCAAGGTTAGCCCTGACGGGATTACAACTGTGTCATGTCATGTTAGGGCGGGTCCGAAGTGAAGTCGACATCCGTTGACACCCGATGTCGGTAAATCCTGACGGTTAGAACTTTCGATCCGAGGGTAGACATTTACCGACATCCATCAACATCCATTCGACGCTTCACTTCGGACACGCTCTTATCCCTGACCCTGGGTCGCCGCCTCGCCTCGGGAAAGCGAACCTTGAAGGGCCTTGACGGAGACCGTTACGGTGCAGTACGGTTTGTCACGTCGATAGTCGTCTGGAAACATCGCGAGGGTTTTCGGTTTCCCGCTCTCGGAGTACAGTACAGGTTTCTCATGCCAGCGAGACTTACAAGGGAAATTGTTGTAGGGCCTAAAGCGTTAGGGAAGATTTAAGGCCTTGTTCGATAGCTTCACAGTCCAGGGGTAACCACAGCCATATCACAGTATTCCGTGGCTCGGTTAAGGCTCGGCAGCAGCACACATGGGCTTTAAACCCTACGAGAGGTAGGCAGATCCAAACCAGAACCTGAAGTACGTTCGGTGCACCTACGAATCTGGTGTGGGAATTTTCACCGCGGACCGCAGTCCAAACACTGCTGCCAGCTGGTCAAGAACAGTGATCCAGGGGCAAAATGGACTTTGAAGAGTTCTGTTTCACGCTTGGTGCTCAAACGACAGCGAGGCCGCTGCACTTTGGTGGGGTATTCGCGAAAATCTAAAAACAAGATTACCCTAAACCCAATAGGGTTCAATTTTCCTGTTGAGCTACTGAATTGTTTTTGTAGGGATCCGTTTTGTGCCCAGGGTACTTTTGGAGTCGAAATTCCAACAAAAAAACGGAAAATGATTTGTACGTTTGGTAGAGATTGCCGCCGGTACTAGGACCCCTTTTGTTCTGTAGTGCATTTAATGCACAGCTCTGTAGCCCATTGTTTTACATGAGGTGTACACGGTTTTGACTGTGAGGGATTTGTTTGTTTCCACAGCTGTCAAATCTGAACAATGGTCAATCAAGATTGTGCACGCAACAAGTTGACTATGGCGTGTAGTGACCCTAGGTTCGGAAACCCTAGGGCCGACTCGGACATACTGTGGTGTGGCTGTACAAAACATTGCAGTGCAATCGAACGCGGCCTAAGATACTGTAAAAAAATATCAGGTGACGCTAGGTGTAAATCATGACACAATGAAATCTGTTGGATTTTGAACTATATTCACGATCAGGCCTAAGGATTTCAGGGCATTTTACCCTGATTAGTCTGTTATTCATTGTCGGCTTTTGGAGCCGCACTGTAAATACAGGTTTGAAGGGCTCTACCACCCTGTCACGATCAGGCCTCGTGAAATTTTGACCCTGGTTTTGCAGTTGTTGGTTCTTGTAGCACACTGCCTTGGCAGAGTTCGGTACTGGCAGCACTCTGACTGAGGTTTTTCCCCCTCAGCCATTTGAGAACTGGCTAAGTCCTGCCGGGAGACACTCACACATACACCAGAACAAGTATCGGATGTGCTCGAAAACTGGCCAAGTCCTTTCCACAGAGACACTCACACATACACCAGAACAAGCATCGGATGTGCTCGAAAATTGGCGAAGTCCTTTCCTCGGAGACACTCACACAGATTGGACCGCTGCAGCCTAGTTTAATTTTTAACCCTGCCATACAAGACCAGACTTTTTCGTTTTTAGACCACAGTAATCACAGGCAATTCTTTCCTCACTTTCTCCTCGCCATGCTCTAGCGAGGAGAAAGTGAGGCTCAGTACTGAAGAAAATTTGTTGGGCATCTCGGTTTCATCGTCAAGATTACCCAGGGCATACATGTAAGACCTGTTGAAATGTATTGTTGATGTGGTTTTAATTCGTGTTGCGCGGGTTGCTTTGGTTTAGAAAATACGTTTTGGGATGGGAAGTTGAGAGTTCCGATGAGATGGTAGCTGCGTTTTGGCATCTTGACCTTGGGCGTGCGATGTTTGTCGTTTTTTCCCAAATTGGGGCGTTGATGTGGTTTTAATTCGTGTTGCGCGGGTTGCTTTGGTTTAGAAAATACGTTTTGGGATGGGAAGTTGAGAGTTCCGATGAGATGGTAGCTGCGTTTTGGCATCTTGACCTTGGGCGTGCGATGTTTGTCGTTTTTTCCCAAATTGGGGCGTTGACTATGAACACCCCTGAAGATCCCAGCGGAATCAGGTCGACGGAATCGAGTTGCCAGGGTCGACGAGGGGGGTCGACGGACAGGGGTCTGACGAGGCGGGCGAGTGACGCGCGTGCGGGCCCGCCAGCCTGGCCCTGGGCTGGGCCGGGCGCACGACCGCCGCCCCGCAACCCCCCCCCCCCCCCCCGAGAGTGAACAGCGACCCACGTTACCGGGTGGGGGCGGCGAGCTGGCGAGACCTCGGGCGAGGGGAAGTAACCCTGCCGCGAAGGCAGCCCACCCCTCCCTCGTGCCCGCGAGGCCCTAGTAACCCATCGCGGCCTGCCCGTACGGGCAGGCGAGGTCCACGCGAAAATCGGGGGCTCCCCTCGGGTCGCTCGACTATTTCGCGACCCGTTGCGGTGACGCCACGTGCTCGCCCGTCATTTCGCATCGCGTGCATGAGACATTTCGTACCCCCCGAAACTCGAGCGAAAACCTGGGTCGTTCGCCACGGGGCGCACGGCTTTCGCGACCCTCTGCGAAATCGACACGTGGTGACGAAACGTCGCACCGCGCCCACGCGAAGTTGCGTCCCCTGGCCGACCGAGGCCGGGGCACGTGACGTCGACCTGTTGGCTCAGCGGCGAGGGTGCACTTGTGCCACGCAACTTGTGCACGAGCCCTGCCGAGCCAGGCATCACGGCCCCCTGGGCGACGCTCAACCGGGCCTGCGTGGCTCCCCCTGGCTTTTCTTCGTTGGAGGTGGACTGGCCCCTCATTTTCGCGTTCTCGTTTCTCTTTCATTTTTCCTCCCACCTCGGCGCCTTCCATACTCCCACCGCTTCTTCCCTTAGCCTGTAGCATAGCATCCTCGCTCTCCCGCCATGGCAGCCGGCCAGAAAGCCGCCGAAGCGGCGCCGACCTCGCTAGATTTCCCCCTGCATCTAGACATCGGTAGAGGACACACGGCCAAGTTCGAAGAGCACGACTACGCCGTTCTGACAAACCCTATGCTAGAGTTTAACGCCCGTTGCTTGGGACTCGGTCTCAAGTGAGTGTCTTATTGAGATGTCGTCGTCGACGGGCCTATTCCATGCTGGTCGGCCATGGCGGGGTTTCAATGCGTCCAGTAGTATATGTCGACGGGCTTAGAGTTCAGGCACATCACATCGGTGATGCCGACGTAATGCGTTAGGTCGTCGACGACGCTGAGTTGTGCCGAAGTCGTTCGGCTCCCGTCATTCCACCGTCGTGCCGCGCACCTATACCTCTCTAATCTGTTGTAATCATGCATGCGTGCAGGCACGCATGGATCCGCTCAACGGATGCAGGCGAGCGATTGTGGTCGATAGGAGTCGGCCGGCTTCGGGCGGCGATGGGTCAGGACGACCACACATGCTATGCGACGATTTTCGACGCCGACGTGGCGGTTATCCCACTGATATCGAGGTGAGCAGGTTCGAGGTCCTGCTGTGTGCTGCAACCTGTGTCGGTGATTTGTTCTGAGCGCCATCGACGTGCCTTGTCTGTGCAGCATCGCACCGCTTCCGGGAGCACATTGCAGCGTCGTTCTCATCCTGTGCCCCGGCGATTTGTTCAATGCCTCGGGGCAGGAGGTCAGGACCTCGATCCGGCACGCCGACCCGCAGACAGTGAAGGAGTGGCACCGCGACGAGGCGATCCGCGTGCTGAAGTGAGCTCGATAGTTTAGTCGACATCGCATACATTGTCGACACGACGCGTGCACCGTGCTAACCGACCGTCCTTGCCGTGCTTTTGCAGGTTTTTCCGGACCGCTGTTCTGGCCGAGCTGCGGCGCGAGGGTAGGAAATGGGAGTGGGCGAAGCCGTCCGAAGACGAGGTGCAGGAGAGGCTCGCCGACTGCGACGAACCCCTTCGAGATGTGAGTTACGGACGATTCGCCGTCATATGGTGTCACATCTACGCCGCCCTCATCCTTGCTCTCTGCACTGTTGTATGCAGAAAATTCCCGATACCGTCCGGGACTCGGACGCGGGCTCCGGCCTGCTAGCAATGAGCGCGTTGATCTGGGTTGTGAGGCGGTTCCAGCGCCTGACCGGCGACCTCCGTCGCATTGCCACCAGCATGGACAAGCCCACCGTCTTGGGGTTGAAGGCGCTGCGGAACGAGATGGTAGCCCTCATCAAGAAGCAAGTCCCGCTCATACGGTCGGGGAAAACCGCTGTTGTTGCCGACGCCTGTGACGACGACGGCGAGGAAGTCCATTCTGCATCCGTACCAGTAGGGGTCGCCCCGAACGTCGCTGATGCGCGTGGCAAGTCGGGAGTCGGCGTCGACGAGGCCGATGCGGCCGCAGGAAAGGGGGTGACCGGGACCGAGGTTGTTCACGGGGATGATGATGGGGTCCAGGATCGCGAGGAGGAACGTGAGGGTGAGGGGGGCTCGGAGGAGTCGTCGGGGTCGATGTCGGGGTCGAGGTCGGGGTCGGGATCGGGCTCGGAGTCGAATCGGAGGAGGAGCAGGAGCAGGAGACGCAGGAGCACGAGAGGCAGCACCAGGAGGAGCAGTTGGTAGAGGTGGAGGACGTGGAAATGGCGGAGGGGTACGTTGTCGGAGGAGCGGAGGGGTACGTTGTCGGAGGAGCGGAGGAAACGGGTGGGAGATCGGCGGATGTCGAGAACGACGAAGGGGAGGGGAAGGGTGCGACAGCGAATATCGGCGAGGTCGGCGTGGAGGCGGCTCACGGAGGTGGTGGCATGGTCGAGGTCGGTGAAGGGGATAACGCCGCGGTCCCGGAGCAGAGGGGCGTGGATGTGCATACCGATGCCACCGCGGAGAAGGCCGGCGGGGAGCGGTCTAGGAGGAAGAAGGCGGCGAGCGGTCATCCCGGTTCCACCGCGGCTGGGCGGCAGGCGCGGCTGGACGTCGTCGATCAGCTGAGGGCGGAGAACAGGCGATTGCGTGCAGACAATGCACTCCTTGAACGGCGGCTCGGTGAGCAGACGGGGCGGGTCGACAGCTTGGCGGCGGCATTAGCTGGGCTCCTCGAGAAGGTGAAGGGTTTGACCGCCCAGGTCGCCGACACCGACCGGAAAACGGAGGAGCGCCTCAAAGAGGCCACGTCGACCATGGCGACCACAATCACCGAGGGCCTCACCGACAACATGGACAGCGCCATTCAATCGGCCAAGTCCTTCGCCGAGCTAGCGAGGCAGACGCTGCTGGATCTTGACGACCCCAAGGGACGAGCGGCGGTCGCACGCGCGACCGCGGTGAAGACAGTGACCGAGCACGTGACGGCGGAGGTGGGCGAGGCGAGGAAGGGGTTGGAGGAGTCGTTCATCAAATACATCGGCGCCGCGCAGACCAACATTGCCGCCGCCGTCGCGCCCCGCCTAGTCCAGCCGCCGCCGCCTACCGGCCCAGCGCAGGCCTTGCCGGAAGATTTCCTGAAGTCTTTCAAGGAGGACGTGCTGAAGGCGGTGACGGAGACCACGCAGCAGTCCTTCCTCGCCTCCGGACTGAAGATAATGGCCGAGGTCGTCGGCACGGTGGCGTATGCTCGGCGTGGGTCGTCGCCGTCGGCAAACGACGCCGGCCAAGCGCAACCTACGGAGGGCTTGAAGCTGGGTCACAAGAGGCGGGGAGGCGGCGGGGGGGGCGACGGGGACAATTCGGCGAACACGAAGCGGAGCAAGGGAGGCGGGGGGTCTGGCGGCGGGGGGGGGGGACGGAGACGATTCGGCGGGCGCGAGGCGGACCAAGGGAGCGGCTGGTTCTCGCGTCGCCGGCGATGGGAGCATGGGAGCCGGCGACGGCAGTTCGTTGAAGCAGTCGGGGAAGAGCGTGGTCGACATCCTCAGGAAGCACTGGGCTCAGGTTGGAGCGGCCAGCACGGGCCATGGTGGTGGGGGTCCCGCCGACGAGCATGCCACTGATGACGCACTGCCAATGGCTCCGCCTTCGGTCGGCGTTAAGCCACCACGACAGGGTAGCGGTGTGAAAGGCCTGCGCGACAAGGAGAAGGCCGCCGCCAAAACGGCCCCAGGCGGGTCCGCGAAAGCTGGCCAGGGCCCGAAGACAGGGGTTGCGGAGGCGTCAGCGGTTCCTCACCAGTCTCCCGCGGGTGCACGCCATCCGACCGGACCGTCTGCCGGGCGACCTACCGACGTCCCGCGCCATGCCGACGTACCGCCTGCCGACAAGGTTGGCCGCGCGGGAAAAGGGGCGGCAGTTGCGGACGCGCTCAAGGAGCAGCTCAGGCTCCTAGCCGGCCACAGGGCTGTTCAACAGGCCCCCCCTGCTGTCGACGTCCCATCGGCCAGTGGGCCACGTGTAGTGCCGGTCGTCGCCGCCCGTACTCCTGCAGACCCAAAGTCCGCGTTGTTGCGCGCCCAGCTGGGCGCACTAGCGTCGACTGAGAGGACTCAGCAGGCTTCTGGCTCTGGCTCTAAGCCGTCGTCGGCGAATGTCGCACCACCCACCCATGTGGCAGCTGATGTGGAGAAGGCGGCGGAGAAGGGCGTTCGTGCCGCGCTTGCCACCGGCGGCGGCGCCGTTGAGGAGGTCCCCGCAGACGCTGATATCGCTGCCATACAGGCCCATCTGGATGCAGCCAATCCCCGAACCCTGGCCATCTCCGACACGGAACATGTGGAGCCTTCGGCGGGACTCGTCGGCATCGCGGCAGAGCCTAGTGCGACCGGTGATGCGGTCGGTGAGGGAAAGTCGAAACGGAAGGGGAAGGCGGGCTCACAGAGGAAGACGCGGGAGAAGTCGGAGGTGAAGGCGGCGGATAAACAGAAGGGGATGGCGGCGGAGACGGCGGCGGACAAAGATCGAGGCGGCATTGGGGAGGTTGAAGGGAAAGGGGAGAATCAGAAGTCGCCCGGCGAGGGTACGTCGACCGGGAGGAAGGGGAAGGACAAGTCGGTCGGAGAAGGTGCGTCGACCGGGAGAAAGGGGAAGGAGAAGGCGGTCGGCGAGGGTTCCTCGAAGGGGAGAAAGGGAAAGAGGAAGGCGGAGGAGGAGGATGAGGATGTCGAGGAGGTGGAGGAGGTCGAGCAGGAGGAAGAGGAGGAGGAGGAGGAGGAGGAGGAGGAGGAGGAGGAGGGGAAGGGCAAGGAGAGGAGGGGTCATGGCATCCGACACGATACCTCGGGCGACAAGCAAGGGTGGGTCGGCGAGATTAAGGTGCACGGCATCAATCGATACATCGGCAAGTCGCGGGACAAGATGGAGCTCGCGTACGTTCACTCCATCGCGTACGTCGTCTACGACGGTTTCGTGAGCAAGGTGCTCATGACCGAGCTCACCGGCTTGGACAGCGCCGAATTGGAGAGGTGGAAGGAGGTGTGGGAGGAGGTCAGGATCTTGCCGACAGGGATGTGGACGGTGATGTGGGCCCGGGGTACGCTCCTTCCAAAGACACGGTAAGTCGACAATCCTCCGATTCAAAGTCGATGTCGTTGTCGTTGTCACTCATGTTCGCCCTGTTTGTGGTGGCGTGACAGGCTGACGGAGATCCTCGACGCGTATCGCCATTACAAGTCCACAGGCGATTGTCTCCACGCCGCGCTCCTGCCAGCGATATGGTACCCAGTCGATGCTAGCACCGAGGAAGGCCGGGAGAAGTCGGCGTCCATGATGTCGGCGATGATAGGCCGCGTGTCAATGTGCGCTGCATATGGGAAGACCGCTGCGGCAGCGGCGAAGAAGGAGGGAGACAAGGGGGAGAAGACGGATATGGCGGCATGGGCGTTAGCAGCATCCGCATGCGCTGTGTGGTGCTTCGTCGAGAACGGCGATGCCCAGCTGGCGGATGCTGTGGAAGAAGGGAAGTCGGCGGCGATCATCGGCGGAGCGAGCCAGGCGACCGCCGATGTATTCGGAAAAGTCATGGAGGCGGTGCTGAAAGCCGAGATGAACAGGGACCGCCCCTTGGGAGAGGTTGCCTACAACGTCGCGCCAGCACTCCAGAGGACCGCCCTTGATACGGTATATCCGGGGGGGAATGCTGGAGTAGATGCCGACGTTATCGCTAGAGCGACGGTTGAGACGATGGCGTTTTGGGGAATGTGCCCCGTCGCCGGGCCGAAACTAAGAGCGAGGGACATCGCGGTGCCGATTGACGCGCAGATGAAGGCCGATCTTGACAACAGGGGGAGGAAGGGTCTGAGGGCCAAGAAGGGGACGAAGACCAAGGGCGGCACGGAGAAGGTCAAGAAGTCGAAGAAGGACAGCACGACGGCCTAGTCGACGGCATGCTAAGATTGAGTGCTGCGTGGACTCGATGATGAAATGGTCGATACCGTTTTCCTTGTTTTGGCTGTCGGATCCCTTTGATGCTCTTTCTTTGTGCGTGCCTGTCTACTTTACGTAGGATGAGTAATGAACACATTAGCTAGTAATGATTGTCTACTTCAGTTTGAACGACACGTGAATGCCCCGCTAGGCCGAGAACAACAAGATCATTGAGAGAAACAAAAAGTCGACATCAGTATCAGTATGAAACATAGGCATGCTGCATCAACATCTACAACATGCAACAGGCCACAGTAGCAGGAGGCCTGGGAACATTCAAGTGGTTTTCTTGCGCTTGGTCGACTTATTGGTCGGAGGCAGCTGCCCGGCGTCGTTTTCGCGGGCCAGGTCGGCCAACGTCTTCTTCATCTGCTCAACCCAGGTGTCCGGGAACAGGTCGGCGACCCACGTTTCGGGCTTGAGCCCGCGCGCCACGAACGCACAGGCGACACGAAGCTTGGAAAATTCCGTCTTGCCGAGCCCTTTGACGCCCTTACCCTGCCCAGCATAGGTCGCTACGGCGTCCGCGTTGAGCACCGTGAGGGCATCCGCGAAGGTCCCAATGCCAGGCGCCGCTATCTTGTTAAGCGCGTTGACGGTGGCTTCCGTGTCGGCTTCGCCGTCGCTCCTGCGAAGCTGGCGCACCGCATCGATGACCTTCATCATGCGGCGCACCCTCTTCCCGTGTGCTCCCTGCGAGGCTCCGTCGAGGAGGGTGTGGCGGTCGACGAATCCCGGCTCCCTGAACCTGTCGCACAGACGACGGGTGTCGGCGCTGGTGCACGAGGTCCAGAGGCGCCACGCGTCCTTGACGGTCGTTGCAGTCCGCCAAGGCTGCACTACGTTCAGCTCGTAGCTAGCCTCCTCGACCGTCTGTGGGGGTTTATTGGGTTTGTTGGCTCCTCCACCCCTGCTTGCCGACTCCGCGGAGCCACCGTCGCTCGGCGACTGGTCGTTAGCAGCTGGCGGCGCCTCCGGCATCCTTCGAGCTTCTGAAACGCGGAGAGCCTCGGTGAGGCGTGTTATCTCGGCCGCGAGCGACGCGATGGTTGCGTCGCGATTCTCGATCTTCTCCTCGAGGTCGAGCTTCTGGACCGTTGACCGCTCCCTCTCGAGCTTAAGCGTCTCCGTGAGGGAGACGACCGCGAACTGGGCGTCATGGCGGACCGATATCTCCTGCAATGGTATGCGAATAACGGTGCAGATGAGGGGTTGTAGCGGTCATAGATAACATCGCGACGTCGGCATAAAAGATGACCTACCTCTGGCTGGATGAGGGTTGGATCTTGCCGCTTTTTTATGGTGTCGGTGTCGGTCTTCTCGACCCTCTTCGCCCAGTGCTGGAAGAGGGGAATCCGGCAGAGCTTGGAATACTGGATGTACGGGTGCCAAGGGGTGCGGACGAGTTTCACCGCGAGGTCCTCGGCGACAATGCGGCGGAACATCAGAAGGGTGCGCCAGAAATGCACGGCCGCAACGTCGGCGTCGGACCCCTTCTTCGCGAGTTCTTCTGCCTGCAGTTAGACATCAGACGGGGGTTATCTCCATGGTGGATAGGACAGTACCATGCAAGATTGGTCGGCACCGATAAACAAACCTTGTTGAGGAGGTCGTCGACGTCGAGGAAGATGTGCTCGGCGATGAGAGCGAGGAGTTCGTCTCCCGGTTCCACCCTACTGCGACCCAAGAAGTAGTCCTGCGTGAATCCCGAATAGCCGGCCTTCTTCATCACCACGCCGACGGGAATGGACGTGATGTAGGCTCGAGTCATCTTGTCGAGAGCCCAGTGACCCAGCTCGGCTATCTCGGCGCGAGGCGTACCTTGGATGGCCAACTCCTGCGCCCCGCCCGCCCGAGCGGCATGGACGTTCCGCTTGCAGAACACCCCGTTCGTCTTCCACATCTGCCTCGTCCATCGCTGGTGGCTGGGAGCTGAGAGTTCGCCCTGCTCGGGGTCGTTGCGGGCGAAGAACAGGTGCTTCTTGTACCAGAGCTCGCGTGTGCTGGTGTCGACCGGCGGAATGAGGGTTACTCCGTGAAACTAGCCGATCTGGTCGAGGACGAAGTGTAACCACAGCCCGGTCTCGCCGACGGCGCACAACTCCGCTTCTAGGTGCCGCGCCGCGTAGCTCTGTTGAAGACGCGCATCCTTCGACGTCTTCGAGTTCCGCGCGGCGACCACCATGACGACCGGCTGGTTATCCGGGTTCACTGACGAGGTGCTCGCCAGTCGGTACAGGAAGATGTCGGGGAGCGTTATCTCGCGTATGCTTGCACCGCGCATGAGGCTGTGGTGGGAGAGCAGCGTGAGCACCTTGATGAGAAGAAACCTCCACAGCGTCTGCGAAGGTGTGGTGAAATGCGGGCTCCATGCCGACGCCGCCCAAGCCGGCAGCACCCTCGTCATTATCTGGCGGAACTGTTCGGCGGTGTATGTGTCGCCGATGGTGCCGCGTCGACGGTCGGCGCATTTACTGTCGACATAACAATATATGGATATGAATATTAGGGCGAGGAAACAAATCGATGGCGACATAACACGGCGATGCATGCCAACTTACTCGAGGTCCCTCTGATTTTTCGTGCGGACCATGACCCGCACCTCCGACCGGACCACCGAGATTTCCCGCATGATGCCCAACTCCTTCTCCTTGAAGAGCGTCGCCTCCACCCTCGCCGCCATCTGGCAGGCCTTGATGCGGCCGAGGATCATGTGCACCGTGTAGGCTCGCACTGGCTCGTTCGTGTCGGCGTCGATCCTGTACTCCCGCCTCATGAACTTGATGTAGGCGCGCAGTCGCATACTAGTGACCCGGGGGCCGTGCAGCCATATGTGCTTCCGCTTGACCACCTTCTCGTTGTCCCAATCCTTGCTCTTGTTGTTGTGTGTCCAGTGCCCTATCTCGTCGACGTGCCTCATTTGTTCTGCTGTCGGCAGTTTGTCGCCAATTTTTTTAAGCATCTTCGCCGTCCACCTTTTGTAGTCGTATATCCATGAGGTGTAGGACTTGAGCGTGCTCTTGGCCTCTATGGTTTTCAGGTGGCGCATTCCCTCCATCACGAGCACGTCGACGCACGCGTACACCATATCTTCCTCTACGAAGTCGGCCGCCTTCCACATTTCTCGAGGGACCGACATGTGCAGCAGATCCTCAAGCTCGTTCTCGTCCAACAGTTCCTCTATGAACGCACGTTCCCCCCTGAGTTTTTCTTCCAACGTGCGCGGACCTGCACCACGTCGGGGCCGCGGGTCGTCTTCGTCGTCCTCGTCGCTCGCCGATGAATAATCGTCCTCATCCTGGTCGCCCGATCCGTCCGGCACAGACGACGGCCCGGCCTCCCCTGCATCCGTCGGCGTCGACGTTTTGCGTGGTTTCGTGAACTCCCCTATCGGCGCGGGCGGAACGTCCTTGGTGAACTCTCCCTGCGGGATTTGGGCCAGGGCGTCGAGATCGTAAAGCAGCGGCAAAGTCGACGAGGGGTTACTGGTCGGTGTACGGTCTACCGGGCGGACGTCCTCATCCTGGCTAGCGGGGTTCATGACGTCCGTCATGTCGACATCGGCGGGGGGTGGGTTGGTTTGCGGCGGTGTCGAACGAGGCTGTCCTCTGGCCATGATACCGCGACCTAGGGCGATAGGAAGTCGGCGTGGTGAGGTCGATAAACTACTTAATGCGTATTCTATGTCGGCGGTATCTGGCAGGTCGGGACAGCAGACAATCCTACGAGAGGTCGGCGACCACGTCTGCCTACTATCACGACGCCGACGTTACGCCTCTAGAGAAAATCAAAGTGCCGGCCGTCAAGTCAGTGGTAAAAAAAAAAAGCAATGGCACACACAATGGCAGGCGGAATGAGCGACCATTTCGGGGACCACGGATGGGGATGGTCGTGAGCGACTCCGCACCACTTGGGGCTCCACGCAAACCCCAGTGCACGACGCCGCCATGCATGTACGCTCGTGCGGCGGCGCCGTGTCCGACGTGCCACCAGGCGTGCATGGCTGCTTGCTTGAAGCGCTTCGCTCATCATGCTCTTTTCGTGGCTGCTACACGCTGGCTCTTTAAGTGCGGCAACGTGGCGTGGTCCCGAATTAGGTGCACCTCGGTAGGTCGAGGTCGGGAGACACTGCCGTGTGGCACCACGATGATGCTCTTCTGGTCGACGCCGACAGGTCCCGCATCATCAGTGTCCACTGCACGTAGCCATAGATAGTGGACGGCCGGATTTCTCCTTGCGCATGTGAGCAACCGTTGGATGAATGCCGTGTGGTATGCACCGACATTGCCACGTTCATGCGCGAGATTCTCCCAAGCGAAGCACCCCGACCTTCCGTTGGCCCGTCGTGTCCAACCTGGCAGACCTAGGTGGCCCCGCCATCCAGGGGACTATCTCGGGCGTCCCTTTGTGGCCGCGTGGCGATCATCGCGGCCCAACTTGCCGAGCTGGTATTCTGACACGCGGCTGAGACGTCCTTCTCGGGATTGTCTCAGCGGAACTCTAGGTCGACAGGTGGTCGACCATCCCGAGGGCTCACCAGCACCTGGCCCAGCCAGATAGCCTGGGCTTTCCACGCGGAGGTCGTCGTGGGGTCGTCGACCCCGAGGAGGGGGGTTGTCCGTTCTGAACCGCGAAAATGGGCGGCAGTTTTCGTCGGCTGAGCTATATTATGCTGTCCTTTTCTCCAGCTGGCGAATCTGATTGTTTATCTGTATACAACGTACAGTTCGTCAAGTGGTGTATTGTCGTTTTTCGTCTTCATGCTCGGTGGGAGCAGCATCCTCTTCCTCTGTTTCGGGGCTCCCGAACACCACCAAGACCCCTGTTCGTGATGCCCGCAGATGAGCTATAAGCTCTGTACTGGACTGTGCTGAACTGTGACCTAGAAACCCACGGCCGCAACCAGATTCATTTGCAATTCGTCCAGGTCAACAGTTGACACGAGGAGTCGA